CAAGAGGGGGATCCATATGCACTGAGCAAGATGAATTTCAGAGGGCAGGGAACTGCAAAGAGGAACAGTGACCCTCTGTCTAGCATCACTTGAGGGTCTGGATCCTCAGCTAGGAAAAGGCAGAAGCTGTTTTGCACTACTCACAGTGCTTTGCTCTGGAAATATCCCAGACCCAAATGGGCTTGCACAGCCATCCACAGTATCAACACCCGCCAAAGAGACCATCAGACACAGTCACCTGTCCACATTGTCCCACTTACATTACAGGTGCTTCCCTCTTACATGCAGGAGTTGCGTGTCAAAATCACGGACACTGGGCTCTTAAAATGAAGAGCTGTTTCTGCACTGCATCGATGTTCTCCCTAGTCTTGAACCAGACTTTATTTTAGAAGAATGGTCTCCAGCCAGTGGGTGGTGCAGTTCTGTGCAGAAAGAGAGACCAGATGGATAGGAAGGCGAATTTATCCATGGCAACAAAACACAGCTGTCAGGTGTGCCTGATGGTGCAGGAGTTATTTACTGGTCTTACAGCACCTGAGTGTTGTACACAGCACACTCCACCTACTGCCCCAAGCTCATTTGGGCAAAGGCTGTTCAGACATGTCTCCTCACAACCCTCTCTCCTGCCTAACTACAAAATAAGAAACCAAGGAAGCACAACAGATGCATCACTTTTCCCTAGAGCAAGAAGGAACACTTGACCCAAACAGTGCAGGACCAGCGTATATACTCACTGCCACCTCACAGCAGCTGACCAAGGCCCTGAAAATTTGCCACCTATTTGGAGACATCTCCAATACTTTTACACAACAGCAGCATACGTGATTATTCCCTATTTCTGAGGTGTCTGACATCACTATATAAGGTAACCTGGGTCCTTCACACAGATCTGCTTAGTCTCATGCCCTCTTGCTGTGACAGCAAAACCAAGAAGAGAAAGTCTGGCAAAAAGACATACTCTTTCTGGTAGGCAAACTTGGCTGTTCACACCACTAAGCCCTCTAAGCCTTCATATCCATCTTCTCTCCATTTTTATTGAGGTATTAAAAAGCCACAGCATGTACAAGATTGCTGTCTGAACAAACTCCACAAGGGTAACCCTCACAGTGATGTGAAGTTGCTTCCATACCAAAATACATTCCTTTCCCATAGCTCCCCTCTTACAGGTATTTCATATCATTATTACAAGAACAATTGCTCCACTTCAGCAGATTTTCAACCAAATCTCAGGCTTTAAACACAACACATTCAAACAGTCTTCTTCCAAGTACTATCTTCTACAGCTTTAAGTCTACTCCATTCTTATGCTGGGGAGGCTAACTTCTACAGGGGTACAAGGAAGTGCTCAAATGTGTAATGAAGAAGAAATGCTTCCTTAGCAACCTATTATTCCTCCTTTATTTTATAATGAAAAACGCAACACTTTCATTTACCAAGGCACTTACATTTACTTCAAAATGAAATCTGAAATACTGCTGAAAATATAAAATCTTGCTCTCACATCTACCTTCTAGATTAATTGGCACAGTACATATCAGACCATGCTTTATTAAAGCATTAACCTGCACTTTCCATTACCAAAATCTATGGTTTGGGAGAATGGTATAGATTGGTCCATAAACATTTCATTTCTCCACCAATGTAGCAATAACAGGCAGCAGTACTCCTAAATCAAACTGTTTGTTGTAAAAGAAAGGCTATAGCAAATCCTCTGGAAAGGCCTTGCACTAAGAAGTGAATGAGGGAGGTGAATAAAAGCAATGAAAATGCATGTGCATGAAAAAGATTTCAAGAGGGATTATTTATGCTGGTTAAAAGGAACAATTATGATGATTATTATTTGCCATTATACTTTTAAACAGACAAATTTATTTTTACTGTGTCTCCACAGTTTACATGCGTTGTGTACTTCCTTCATGGCGTACAGTTTTCTGCTGGGTGAAAAGCATTCAGGCACAGAGAAATGTCAGGGGCTGAACTGCAGCCAGTGGCATGGCTCTGAGGGAATTCAGCTCCTGCCCAACCTCACAACCATCTGCTGAAGCTCACTTGGCCTCTTCATGGTCTCATGAGTAAAACTGGGCAATGAGGAGCATGTTAACAGAGGAACCAGGACAGGTGGACAGCACAAAATCTTGAGAAAGCCAAGGAAAAAAGCAGCACCTCAAACTGGCTCCTCAGTTATGTTCTCTACAGCCATCTGGAACATTTCTCCCTGGGGGCACTGTTCTCTGTGCTGACCTTTTCCTTCCTTGCCTCTCTGTTGTATGCCGGGGACAGACTGCTGTGCCTCTGGTCTACATCAGAGCACATAGGTCTGAACAACTTCCAACCACTTTTAAGCATAGTTAGCAGGACAGTGCTATGTAGTACAGGTCACATCCACTTTTCGCAAAGGCAGATCCTTAAGAGAAGCAGAAGCAAGGAGGAGTGCTTCTACCTCAACACATCTGGCCACACTTGAGGTTATTTTTCTCAGCTACAAGGACTAGGAGGTCACAAGTGACAGGCACCACATGAAATAAAAAGAGTAAACCTCTCTCTCTCTCTCTGTCATGGTTGCCATTAAACTTGTGAAACAGGCTTAGAAGTGGACAGGTGAAGAAACAAAGCACCCATCATTCGTTATACCTGAGGAAAACCAAGTCTTGTGTATTTAAGCCAATCACTTGAAACTTTATGTAGACTTGCAGTTGGGAGCCACAGAATGCTTCCACTACATGGAAGGAGCCTTGTGATAAGGCCAATTAAAAAAAGAAGTTAATTTTCAGAATAAAAGCCCCTCCTGAACTGGCACCGTTGCTCGAGTTTAAAAAGCACTACAACACAGCCACATTTAACTTTTCACAGCAGAATATAAGGAAAAAAATACTGAAGTCAGGTGTAGCTTATAGGAAGGTCAGTATAGCACAGGGTTCACAACCTCAAAAGTTAAAGCTTATTATCACAAAAACCTCATTAGATGTCTCCTTTGTTCAATATTCTCTTCATATGCTCCAAAACAACATAACAGTGATCATCTCTGCCCACACCTACAGTGAGGACGGTGGTATTTAGTTTCATAGACTTAACCAGGTTGGAAAAGCCCTTTAAGAACATCAGGTCCAACTGTTCCCCAGCATTTCCAAGGCCACCACTAACCCATGTCACTGAGGGCCTTGTCTACACGGTGTATGAACACTTGCAGGGACAGTCACTCCAGCACTGCCTTGAGCAGCCTGTTTCAATGTCTGAGCACCCTTCGGGGAAGGAATTGTTCCTATTCTCTATCTAAACCTCCCCTAGTGCAGCTTGAGACCATTTCCTCTTGTCCCATCCCTTTTTCCTTGGAAAAGAGACTGACCCCCACCTCACTTCATCCTCCTTTTAGGTAGCTGGAGAGAGAGCGCTTCCTACAATCTAGCTAAGTAGCTAGTGGTAACAACATGACCCTCAGCCACCCTGCAGTAAATTTATGTCTGGAGATACCATACAGTATTAAATGCTTAGAGAGACGCTACAGAGCACCTGTGGGTCAGTTCTAAAGTTTAATTTACAAGAAATTATGACAGAATAAGGCTTTAAAATAGCTACTAAAACTGAAACTGCTGTCCACCCCATCATTAAAGTGCAGAATAGTATAGAGATCTGCTTCCTAAAGTAAGCAGGCAAATTTTCTAGGCTTTTTGCCAGAGTTCCTGGTACTTAAGGCGCATAGAAGGTCTCTTCGCTCTGACGGGAAAGCTTCTATTCACACGCTCTTAGTCCCCATTAAGTAAACTTTTCCAGGGCTCAAACAAACACATGCTCCACAGAATCCCAAAAGCCCCAGCAAAAAGGAGAGAAAGCTACACCTCATTCCAGGTAAAAGGGATTAATTGCTTCCTACGCTCTTGTTACAGAAGATGTGCATATCCTAAACTGGGTATCATTCAAGGAAAAACATAAGCATTGAGTATTTTAATGCGCCAGAATCACCTGGTACCCCAGGGGAAAGTGAGGATGGGAATTTTATGCACACTCCTGTTATAAAAATTTAGCCTTGGCCATGATCTGATTTAATTATTTTATTACAATAGATTAATATCAAGAGGCAATAAGCAAGCAGCACTGGGTGTGCGGGGAGTCTCCGCTCCGCCAACAACGCACACCAGGGTTTTTGGGGTACAGTCTCTTATACTTCTCAGTCCAGGGTTTCAGTTACTGGTTTTGAGTTTCAGCCAATCCTGTTGTCTTCTTTGCCCGAAACTCGATGTGGGTCCTTTTCATTTGTTTCTGTCCCGTTGCTGTGGTCTTCTCTCCAGGTAAAGAAACATACTGAAACTTCTCGGTAATACATTAACAGAAAGATGTCTATCACAAGCTTAACCACAATCTTAGACCCGTATATTTAACAGGATGCATCTCCTTGGTTACCTAACCCCCTTAAAGCATTCAAGCAGCTAAACGAAGCTGAAAGCGTTCCTTATTGTTTTAACAGTCTAAATGATTAAAGAGGGGACTAGCTTATTCCCTTGTTTCTTCTTCTTTCCCATCATTACTTTGACACCAACATTTATTATAATCAAGGTCCTTTTTATACATTCCACACATGGTACACTCGTCATAGGTACACTGGTAACAATGATTTCTAAGTTCTTGACACGAATAATTCTCATATTCTTTACACTCCTTAGGCTATTACACAACTCACCTCTACCAATTCAGAGGCACAAAAACCAAACAAGTTTTCTCTTTATCTTTCTCAATATCAGCTCTCCTAACTGTTTGGTCAGGAAAGCATTTTCTTTGGCTCTTTGTGAGACTGAAACAGATCCATTTTTTACTCCATGCTATACTGAATATTACCGTTTTTCAAGTTGTTTTCCTCCATGCAAATGACAGTGCTTATTAATGCCTCATTAGTTTAAAAAGTGGTTTCAATTCAGAGTTTCTCATCTGTAACATTCCTGTATATCTAAAAAGCTAAGGTTATTTTCAGAAGACAACAAACTAAACACCTCTGCTTTTCTTCAACATACGAAGTTTCCTCTGGTCTGTTCCTTAGTCACCCAGAAAAGCATCTGATCTTCTAATCTGAATCTCCCACACATCCCTGATAGAATAAAACCCAGTGATTAGTTGAATACATATAAGCTACACTACACATAGCAAAAACATGCTTTCAGAAGAGCAGGAGTTATCTACCTTCTCAGCAAGTTTGCTAAGGTTGTGAAACAAGTCCCACAAAGTAGGCATGCCACTACCTACACAAGCTCAGAGTACATCCCTACAATCACAAGGCAGCCTTGCTAATCCCTACATTAGTAATGCAACCATTCAGCATAATTTTCTACATCCTCTGAGCTCAACACCTACACCTGTGCAAGAGTGGTACTCATCTAATCTAGGCTGTTGAAAGCAGCAAAGCACCTGTTAAAGAAATCCTTTCCTCAGGGCAGGTTAAACCCATTGCATTAATTCACCCAGTTCAATAATTGCTTCCTTCACACCATTTCTGCCACGCAGACCAGTTCTCTCTCAGTCCCTTGCTAAACTGTGGATAAGAAAACTTTTCTATTTGCCTGGACAAACAGGTGCAGCCATGGCTGCTCAACAACTCCTGGTCTCTGTGTGTAACACAACTAGCACAAAGGATGGGAATGAAGCTGAGACCTCTCAAGCTCCTTTCACAACACCAACTCTGAACTGGTGAGAATGGCTTTAGTTAATGGCTGAATTTCAGACGAAGACATGTGGAGGAAATGATGAGCAGTCCATTACAGCTAACTACCACAGTAGTAGATACAGCATCTCACTAGAGCTATTATATCCAAACCCCCAGTGATTCTTGACTGAAAGGATACATATGTGCTCTAAACATAAAAGACTCTTAAAAGAGCAGTAAAGATACAAAATTTAGGATTAGGAAACCGTAGCATCAAAGTTACTTATCACTTACAAAGAAAAAGCACTCCATGAAGGCTAATCTCAGCGTTAGCATTTCAGCTCTATTAAACCAGCCAAATGGAGCAGTTTTTTGGAATTGAGGCCAGGATGGAGGAAGGTGAGGTGGTTACCAGGGGTCTGTGCCCTAAGGAGACCCACTTGAAGGAACAAGCCATCAGCTGCAGCCTATCTCTCTTGGCCACCTCATGTCACACCCACATGACTGACATTGCGTGACCCCATGCAAAGGCACCCTAAGGAGAGTCACGTATCAACGGAGAAGTAAGCTGAGAGTTCTGCATCTTATTGCAGCTTGCCCTGTGCTATAATGCCAACATAAAAAAGTTGGATGAAGAGCACACAGGTCCCCTTCTTCTCGAAAGAAGACAGCAAATAAGCTTTAAATAACCTCCTCAGAAACCAGACCTCTAGGCTATTCATATCAGACATGAACAGTTGGACACACTCTTCGCAACACAGACTGGAAGTCTAAAAAGGGGATAAAGTGCTTTGTGAGAGGAGTCAGTGCTGACTCTTGCTGTGTTTTCAAAACTTCTAGTCAGATCCTACAGCTTGGCTTTACAGGCAGCATCATCATCACATGTAGCACACAGGAATAAACATAACCATGGCTCTTTTAACAGGAGTCTCTATTACCCAAATACACAGAGAGCCATCTGGCAGAAATCACCTGCAGGGCTTGTATATGATGTTTATCAACTGTCAGAGGATCTCTTTTAAATGACTGATCAGCCAAGAAGAACATACCTATAAGCAGTTCTTCCGTTACAGATTTGTACCTTGGATATCAAAAATTATTAGAAGTCAAGTACATTCCAGTGGCACGAGAAAAGCTCTGAATAAAAACAGGACATTTGCATCCAAGGGTAGTTTTCCACATTAAGCAGTCTGTTACCAAACCCAAATCCAACACACCTAACCCTGGAGGAGAACACTCTTCCACAGGAACAGATGCTGCTGCAGATGTGATAGGACTAATGATGTCCCAGCTCAAGAACACACCTGGAGAGTAGTAGGTGACTTATCTGACAGAAAAAACATGCAATGAGATTTGTGTGCTCAATTCCTTTAACATTTCTTTGAGTTGCTGTAGGAATGATACAGCAAAGAGTATCTCTCCTAAAAAAAAGACAATTCATCCTTTATGGCTGTTCTGATCTGAATATACTTGTACAGTCTTCATGTCTGGAAAACAGGTACTCCTCAGAGGAACAACAGAAACACTGATTTTGATCAAAACCAAAGCAAATTTCATTTCAACCTGCCTTACTCACAGAGCTTTACTTGAACACCTTTACTCCAGGTAACCTACAACTCCCTTATTTGCTAACTTTGTGTCTTACAAGACATGCATTTTTTTTCAGCAAGATAATGCTTTAAGTTACTTTCACTGTATTAAACACATTGGACATTCTTCCCAACAAAGCAGGCACTGAAGAGGATACGTCCTTTCCAGCTGTAGCAATTAGCTATTTACACTGAAAATCATGAAAAAGAACGTATCTTACTCAAAAGAGACTGTTCAACAAAACTAATTTGTAACAAAGCCCAAATGTCACAGAGTCCTCAGGTCAGGGCAGTATTCTGTACACGAGGAGCCCACTGACTGGTGCCTTCACATGAGGCTCTCAATACTTCTAATATGAGAGGGGTGGATATTGCTAGTTCTGGGTGTGACTGGGGGAATGCAGTGTTTCCCAGTGTAACACAGAGATCTCCAGCAGTTTGGAGTCTCAAAGGAAAAAGCTTACCACTAACCACACAATATGACAGCAGCAGAGCTACTAATTCAGGAGAATTTGCACCCAATAACATGGCAAACTGTTCCTCTCCCCTGATCCATCTATACTACAGGTCAGGAAGAATGGACAGGCCATTTACTAGTGTGGAGATAACCACAACAAAGAGAAGGCAGCACCATGAAAAAGGGGAAAATCAGCATTACAAGCTCACCCACATGAGCAATGGAGGTGCCAGGACCAGCCTGCACTAGGAAGGGGTCCACCACTGTCAGTTAACACTGGCTATGCTGTGTCTCTGGAAAGTACCATTAGGCTGCTGCACTGGAAACAGCATCTGGGAGAAGGCCAAGAATGCATTTTAACTCTCTGCCTTGCTACAGTATCTATCTCTTCTCCGTTTTCTGCAAGCACATGCAAAAAAAAAACCCAAAACAACCTCAACATTATTCTTAATGACCAATTTTTAACAACCAACCTTCTCCCACCAAAAATGGTATAAAAAAAATGTCAATCTGTTTGTCATTGTCCATTTGAGGTACTTTCTGACCCTAGGAACTGACACTTGCAACCTGGACAGTTTGCTTTTCTGTGGCTTAGGGCAGGATCTACCATCGCTCAGTTCCTTCATCACTTTACCCTGTGCATGGGTGATGAGACAGGTCCTGACAGATCTTTTTTTGCTGTAACAAAGCTGACTGTACAAGGCAGTGAACTGGGTGACCTGGCACCCCCGGGAATGTGAACCTCCCTGCCAGCCTCCTGCCTGCTAACAGCCCGAAGGCCAAGGTGATGGGCTCACCTGGTAGCCTATGTCAGCCGAAGGAGGACACTCCCTAGGAGGCTCTATCTGACAGACAATGCCCAAATCTTACCTCTTGGCACCCAGATTCAGTAATTCCCACCAGACTCTATTTCACTTCTTTCCTCTCAACTGCCCCTGCATGGTTTCCTCCTGCCTAAGTCTGAAAATACGAGATCAGACCCAAATGAAAACATAGCACAAGTTTTCAGCCTGCAACTGGTTTAGTAACATGGGTGCTTCTGGCTGTAAGTAGACAGACAGACAGCTCTCTGCATTGCCACTACATCACACTGAATACACGTACACCCTTCAAGAGGCTGGAGTCCTTCCAGGCAGGGCCATCGATAGGAATAGCTTTTCCTGTAGTGCCATCTTCTGGATTAGGGTGTAGGAACAATCTAGCTGAAATGGATTTATCAAAAGATATTTATCTGTTAAAAACTGTTACAACAGCTTTAGACTATGGATCAATATGTCGAAACAGCCAAACCACGGGAATTCTCTCAACAGATTATCTACAGTTTACCTCTCAATCAATTATTAGCTTTTAAATGACAAGATTTTGACCATTGTTTTCTGGCTCAATCTGCTTTGTGTTTTGAGCCACTGCAATCTTGCTTTTTAGATTTTGTTCTATTTCTCAGGAAACACAAAGGCTGATTGCTTACAAATTTTGTGCCACCTCGTGACTCCGCAACACGTGACGGCTCCCCAACGCCACGTGGAGAGGGAGAAAAGCAGGTAAAACCCTATTGATGGGGCCTGTATATTGCTTTAACCCAATTCTCATCACAGTGGTGGTTGTAGTTTCTAGTCAGTTTGTAGCTCAGGGCTTTGTAGGTAAAGGAAGCAGGGAGGAGCTCCTTTCTCACTGAAAGATCCCAGCCTGGTTTGTGTTGGAAGGGACCTTAAAGGTCATCTAGTTCCAACCCCTGCCATGGGCAGGGACACCTTCCACTAGAGCAGGTTGCTCCAAGCCCCTGTGTCCAACCTGGCCTTGAACACTGCCAGGGACAGGGCAGCCACAGCTTCTCTGGGCACCTTGTGCCAGCGCCTCAGCAACGTCACAGGGAAGAACTTCTGCCTAAGAGCTCATCTCAGTCTCCCCCATTCTGGCAGGTTAAAGCCATTCCCCTTGTCCTGACCCTACAGGCCCTTGCCCAAAGCCCCTCTCCAGATGACCACCTGTAGCTCAAAACAGTGGATTCAGGAGAGTATTACCTATCACCTGTGCAGCGTGGCGAGCACATGAGCTGAAGGGAGGAAGAACTAAATCTTTATTCTTTTCCCCACCTCCACTGTTTTTCTGACAATAATGCTCTCTCATCCTCCTGCACACAACGATCATAAACACCTTCCTCACCTTCACTGAAGGATTTTGGTGTGCAGGTTCCACAGACCAAAACCCACTGACGTGAGGCCGCCAGGGTCCTACCGCCAATACGGGCCCCGAGGGCCATCGCTGGCCCGGGTTGTGCCCTCCCGTCCCGTCCCGCACCGCAGGAGAACGCAGGTTCCCCCGGCTCCCTCGTTCCCGCAGACCCGGAAGGGGTGACAGACCCGCCCCTGAGGAGGGGGTACGGATGGAGCCAGGACAAAGCCGGGAGCGGCTGTGACCCCGCGCAACAACGGGAACCCCTGGAGCCGAAATCCCCTTCGCGCCCCCTCCCTCGGTGCCCACGAGCGGCCTTTGTTCCCGCTCCCCTCTGGAACGTGATTTTAAAACGGCGTTATTATAACAATTAATACAGATGTTTCAGCGTAATCCTGCCCGGATCAAGCCGAGGATTTGTACCCCGCTAAGGCGGGAGCCGGGATGGCTCCAGGGGTGCGTGTTGTGACAGAGACTCCGGGCAGCAGAAACGCCCACACCAC